ATTTCCTAAATTCAACAAAATGGTAGAAAAGTTCACTTACTTTGAGGTGTGTATGTAGAAGGCTCCTGGATGATGATGATGATGATGGGAATTACAATGGGGGTGGAGGAGAAGGAAGAAGAGAAGGCATTGGGGTGGAAGAGAAGTCACCCCATGGCACCATTTCACCCATAAAATTTTAGTTCTCTTGGTGTATTTCAAGATTATTTTCTTTAAATCAACACTGTACTGCATTATATATTGTCAATATGTAAAATATATTTCAAAATGACCAATAATTTGCTTGGAAACACAGAAAAAAGCGTTTAGTTGAAGAGAGTCTCAAGCATGATGTTACCTCCAGTGAAAACAGAGAGACTAACGCCTGTTTGCTGTGTTAAGAGGCTGGATGCTGCGCTTTAAACTAGTCACTTTACCTTCAATTATGTTCAATAATTGTTAAAATGACTAAAAAATTGAATATTAAATTTTTAAAATTATTGAATAGTATAAACTTCTTGATATTTACTAAAATAGTTAGGAATTTAAGCCCTAGAACCGATTAATGTATTGGCGGACTGATACTAAAGCTGGTTGCCCGGCCAGTGCAAGAGAAAACATGTTGAGGTCGGTTCGTAAGAAATTCGTTAACCGAATTTTTGTTCGTTAACCGAATTGAAGATCCTTATGAAGCGGTTAGATTGTGAAATTTACGTTAACAGTGATTAGATTAAACGAGTCTTTAATATATATATATATATATATATATATATATATATATATATATATATATATATATATATATATATATATATATATATATATATATATATATATATATATATATATATATGTATATATATATTATTATTGATATGTGTATATATATATATATATATATATATATATATATATATATATATATATATATATATATATATATATATATATATATATATATATATATATATATATATATATATATATATATACACACACACACATATATATACATATACATATATATATACATATATATATACGGTTTCGTTTAAGGGGAATATGTGAGGAAGAGTGAAGAGTAGAATCATCAGCGTAAGAATGGATAGAATTAGTTGTAGTGTGAAGTAAATCATTGATAAAAAGAAGGAAGAGAGTTGGTGAAAGAGCGAGAAATCGATCCCTCGACAACAACTGTCATGGATCGATTCTCAAGGAAGCTAGAGATGAGAGAACAAAGTGGGGGAGAGAAACCAAAAGAGGGAAGTTTAGATAGCAAAGACTTGTGCCATACCCTGTCAAATGCTTTGGAGATGTCGAGGGCCACGACAAAAGTTTCCCCATAATCCCTAAGAGAGGATGACCAAAGATGGGTGCAATAGGAGAGCAGATCACCAGTAGATCTTGCCTGGCGAAAGCCATACTGGTGATCCGACAAAAGAGAAAGGCGTTCAAGGTGACGGAGAAAATGGGAGTTCAAGATAGTTTCGAAAATCTTAGAGAGGGATAAAGTTAGGGCAATGGGGCGATAATTAGAGGGATTAGAATGGTCACCCTTCTCCGGGATGGGCTGAACCAAGGCATGCTTCCAAGAAGAAGGAAAAGTTTTGGTTTTGAGGCAAAGGCGAAAGAGGCGAGCAAGCACAGGGGCCAGGGCTTCAGCACACTCCCTCAGAACACGAGGGGGTATTCCGTCCGGTCCATGCGCCTTACTCACATCCAACCTGGATAACACACCGGCAACCCTGCGAGTGCATAGGAAAGTGCATAGGTTCAGTAGGAGGTGCAGGGGTAAGAGGGATAGAGTGGGAATCGTCTAAGGTGGAATTAGAGGAGAATATGGTGCCAAAGAGGTTGGCTTTGTCAGGGGGAGAGTTGGCTACAGAGTTATTGGGACGGAAGAGGGGAGGAAAAGAAGGCGTGCAGAAGTTGTTACACATGTTTTTAGTTAAGGACCAGAAGGATTTACTAGAGGAAGAATTAGTCAGGACAGCAGTCTTTCTTTTAATAAAATTCCGCTTGGCCCTACGAAGAATAGCCTTACAACGATTCCTAGAAGTAATGAAAGAGGTGTGGGTAATAGGAGAAGGAGATAGTTTCATAGCTCGATATGCCCTATCTCTCACCCTGCAAGCAAGAGAGCAGGAGCGATCAAACCATGATTGTAATGTGAAAGTTTTGGTAGAAGATGGGATAAATGCACTCATACCGCCCTGTATAACCCCAGCAATACTGTCTGCACATACTGAGGCATCCCGAGTGGAAAAGCAACATTCATCCCAAGGAAAGTCGGTGAAGAATTCTCGCAAGGATTGCCAGCTTGCCCTCCGATAGTGCCATAGTTGACATTTAGAGGGGGGTGGGAGAGGTGGTCGTGCCCAGTTTGATTTAATAGAAATAAGGTTGTGATCAAAAGACCCTAAGGGGGCAAAAATTGAGCATGAATAGTGTGAGGGGTTAGAGGTAAAACAAAGATCAAGAATGTTAGCAAGTTGATCGTGTCGATCAGGAACGCGTGTAGGGTGTTTGATTATTTGTTCCAAATCATTAAGTAAGGAAAAGAGAGTGCCTCAGCTCCACCTGGGTCATCCCTTGCAGAGCCAAGCCACTCTCTGTGATGTATATTGAAATCCCCAGGTAGAGGATCTCGGTGTTGGGGTGTGTGGATAGCAACGACTCATGGCAAGAAGTGAGATAGTCAAAGAGTTCGAAATAGTTGGTAGAGTTGGGAGAACAGTATAGGAAACAAAGAAAAATAGTCACAGTAGGTAGAGATATTTTGAGCCAGATGACATCATAAAGGGGAGATTCAAGATCCGTGAGTCAGGCTATAGGTGTACGTGTATTGCAGTAGGCGCATACACCTCCCTTAGAACGGAAGTAGGTATAAAGGTTGTAGTTAGAGACTTGAAAAGGTTTGGGTGAAGCTGCTTTGGTCAGTTGAAGTTCGGAGAGTAGTAAGAGGTCGGGGAAGAGGTTGATAGATGGTGCTCCACAGAAGAAAAATTGGATCTCAGTCCGCGAATGTTGGAAAAATGAAGTGTGAAAAAAGCCGATCCTCCAGCAACCGAAAACTTGGATAAGATAAATCTTGATAAAATCACACGGGAAAAGGGAAACAACCGAGGGACCACTGTATAAATAAAAAATACAAAAATAAACTAAAAAAATTAAATAAATAAAATTAATAAATATTGAAGTGATAACCGTGGTAACATTATGAAATGTTCTTATTACCACCATGCTATTGTACTATTCCAGATGTTACTAAATGTTACATACCGTAATACTTTCTTGAGATAAATGTATAGTATTGTAGTGGACGTCTCCCCTACAACTGCGTAGCCACAGCCACCACCTGCTACCGCCTTCCCTAGCAACCAACCAGATGTTACCGTAACTTAGCAACGAAACTAGTCACCGGCGACTTCTCGGGTTTTCCCAACATGACTCATAGCGGCTGCTGGGTATATAAGCTCTGTCTCTCCATTGAGATTTATTCTGACCATTCTTCTTGAACAAGCAACACCTCCTCCTCCGCCGCTGCCCGGCTGCCCTCGCTCCTCCTCGCCTGCCTGGCAGTCCTCGCTCCCGCCAGCGAGCATGGCGACCCACCAGCTGTCCTTCTCTGAGCTTCCTCACCAACCAACTCTCATTCTGCCCATCTTCCTGAACAAGCAACACCTCCTCCAGCAAGCTCCACGCTGTCAGCATTCATTCAACCAGGAGGCCAGCAACAGGCAACATCTTCTCTAACGAAGCTCCTGCACATCTACCTCCTTCAACACGCTACTCACCGAACGTCTCTACTGAGCAGCTCCTCACCACACGGCACCTCCAGCACCAGACTGTCTATCATATAACTTATATTATACAAGAAAACCACATTAGAGTTTCCTTCCATCCTGAGTGCTAGACAACATTAATATCTCGATACCCCTACAGTATATATCAGGTGCCTAAAACAGAGCTCAGGTTCTCAACTGGCTCAGCCATGTTAATACAGTATTGTTATTATTATCCACTCTGTATCTGTGTTTTTCTGGCTAAATAAATTGTTTCAATTCAATTCTGGGTTGTACCATATCAGGGCCAGGACTTATGTGAATCTTTAGCTTTGACAGTTTATTTCTTATACCCTCAACCGAGAACACAATGTGGGTCAGCACTGTCTCAAATAGTCTTTCCCCAAACATAGGAAGATAGTTTGCATCATCTCTTGTAAACACTGAGGAAAAGAATTTGTTCAACGCCTCCGCCTTATCCTGGTCAGAATCTGCATAACTACCATCTTCAAGCCTCAGTTCCGATACGCCTACTAGCATTTTTAATTTTGACTTTGCATAGCACCTTTGGGTTTGACTTTACCTCACTCTCTCATCAAGAAAAATAAGTACAACTTCAGTAATGAACTACTTAATCTTTACTGTTTTTACAATTGTTTTCTGTCCATCTCCCTGAGGCTGGGGTAAACTCTCAGATTGAGGTGGCTACTTTGAGTCAGATTTATGTCTCAGGGTGACTCAAATGGATGTTCTAAGGATTTGAGAAGAAACTCATAATCCTTTGATAGATTCTTAAGTTGGATCACCTTTAATTAAACATTTTATGAACCCTACGGTGGAGCCACTGAAGGTGAACTGAAAGGGTGCTGCTTCCTCCCACTTAAGCAGAAAATCTCATGAACATTGGCAATTTGTAGCATTACAGGTATTTTCAGTCAAAATATGTCATTTTATTTGTATTTGTTTATAAATGGATGTTTGGTAATACTATACTGTATTATTAAAAGAAAGAAAAAGAGCATTTACATAACCAGTTACATAACCACATACATATGCTAACACACTCCCCCCCCCCCAAAATGGAAAGATATGCTATGCTATATAAGCCATAACACAATAAAATTGAGGATAGCTTTGATTTTTACAAATTCTTAAAATGGATGACAATATTTTCAGTAATGGACCATCAACACTGACAGTGTGAATGATGAAATACTGTGTACTGTATACACTTACCTCCTTCTCCTTGTTTTCAGCTTCTGAACGGGACAGAGCAAGAGCCAGCTGCAGTTCCTCCTCCTCCTGCAGCTCCTCTTCACTCTTCTTACCAGGTGCCTAAATCAAGAAAAACACTATTGGAACCATGACAATGTTATTACTTTTATTTTGTGGGAGGAGGAAAGTGGGCATAAAGAATTTGAAAAAAAATACCTACTGTATATCTAAGAAACTAAAAGAAGATACAGTAGCCAGTGTATACTGTATAAACACTAATCCCCTAAAAATAAATACATAAAGCTTTCATGGGTCTTCTTATGCATAAATAATTCATACGTGTCCCTCATTTTGTATGAAGATTGTACAGTGTTCCAAAAGTCATACAGTATGAAGATTGTACAGTGTTCCAAAAGTCATACAAAGCAAGACTGAAAAATTTTTCATTGAAACTTTTCCCTAACTCCAACAGGCTCTTTAGAGCTACTGGTGCAATCAGTTATGGGATGGATTTGCAGTTCTCAACTCCTAAGTAGGGTTAACTTCAACAAATTACTTGGTCTTACACTTAAAGTCCACCTAAAACAAAGTGCAGTATGTGAGAGACTGTGAAACAAATAACATCTGTATTGATGTTTTCTCATAGACAAAGAACCTTAACTAAACTCGGTTTCTGAAGTCCCCACTATGGGTCCATAGCTTCAAATGAAAACCAGTCTCTTTTCCTTGTATCATAATAAAAAAAGGGTACCTGTACTGTGCCCTGGATATCCCAGGTCCTCCTTTTGCCTATTGTTGTTTTGTGGCTAACACCTAATTGGAAGAGCCTCTTCTCCTAAAACTACTACATCTTCCATGCCTTCCTTGAAGTGACCAAAGATTCAAGGAAATGCAAGTTACCTCTAAGACTTTTTTTTACAGATTTATTATCAGGCAGAGGAAGGCACACATCTGAATGTTCAAGCCCCTTGCAATTAACAAACTTCCAATCTGTCCAATTGTTCGTATCTACATATCTGCGACTGAAAATAAGTTTGAATAGGTTAGTAAGTTTATGACACCCCTCCAAAATTAGCACAGTATACACTATCTCTGCCTAACCTTGACTTGAGCCTTACAAAAGAGTAAGACTCAAATGTTAATGAAATCTTTCTGTTGAATCCAAAAATTTTCCAATCAGCCTACAATCAGATTCACCATGTTAACCTTTGATGAAGACTAATCCTGCAAAAGGTCCAGTCATGTAGTTGACTTGGAAAAAAAAAAAAAAAATTGAGAACACAACTAGTACTACTACTACTACCCTCACTGAGACCTACAGAGAAGTAACTTGAAAGTTATCCTATGATTGAAACAAACAAGAAGCAAACTTCATTCCCAAAATATAGAAATCAAAGTGAACAGAGAAGTGATGAATTTGAGAGAGATACAGTCATTTCTGCTACAACGCGTGTTTTGTCAGTGAAATAGCAGGAACTAACCTTAGTGGTCTTTGGACTACTGTTTTCCTCAGTCTCGACCTTAGCGGGGTTGGTAGCTGGTCGTTGTGGGCTGCAGGGTAAAGCAAGCAGAGTACTGTACTGCTAAAAATTTACATCTATCAATTCAAAATGGTTGAAGACTTTTACAAAAATGTACAGGTAAAATATTACAGGTGTTGTTGTTACATGTGGGATATCAGAGATGACTACTGTAGTGTATTTTTCAATAGTTTTACAAGGATGATTTGTTTTCTATCTTGAGGTCGAATGACTAAAATTAAGTTTAGTGAGTTTATTGCAAACCACATAAAACAGAGTGGTAATATGATCAGCTGATTTGAGCCATTTAGTAAAAGGATAACCAAGATTCATTTATCATTGCAGTATATTTAACCTGTCCCAACCTGAGCTGAAAAAAGACACCAGATAAACTTAAAGATGCATTAACTTTGATGGTAGATTTTGGAGCTAAATAACAAACTTATGCCAATTCAAAAATAATTATAAGTTTCAATAAGATTGTTAGTCAAAATAGAATCTATTTGTCTACAACATTTCTGTACTATTAAAAATTACACAAGATGGAATAGAGGCACTTCCCCTCAACAGAAAAATAAGAAAAGAATGAGTAGTGTACAATAACCAAAAATAATAAAATAAAACTAAACCAACGTATTTTCTCAATACATATTAAAAGTATTCAAAAGGTTCAGAGGAATTCTACATTACATTCAATCTTCATAATGTATTCATTATGCAACTAGGATTCATCAACAGAATTTTCAACTATACTCCATTCACTTTCAGAATCAATCCATCTCCCCTGTGTGGGGTTTATAAATTTCTCTTGCTGATTCTACTGTTTTTATCACAGATATGCACAACTCAGTGCCCAACTTGATAAAAATCTTGATCAGCTTAAATATTTCCTCCTTCCTCGTACTGAAAACTGTACTACCATAAATCATTACTACAGTATTATATACAAAAAAGTTCTCCCATTACAATCATTCACCTTCATCCTTCACCAATCATTATTATCTTTGAAATTCTGATTTGTCTTTCTTTCAAGTTATATTTTTTTTCCACCTAATTATGTAATAATTTCCACAGCCTCAACACATCATTCAGTAGCTATCCAATATTCATTGTCCACCAGGTCTTATAAATCTTCAAACACTGATGTTGAGCCTTTCTTTTCATATTGTCTGTTTACAATATCAAACACCTCTGTGGTTACCCTCATAGTATTCTCACTTCCTTCTATTGAGTTATGTCAACACCCACCAGTTTTTCATAAGCTTCCTAAGTCTTGTCACATCTATCCACTGCTTCTTAACTTGTATTTTCCTTATCTTACTAGTACTCAAATTGCCAGTCACACCTCCTTTGAGTATCTTGGTTAAGTACAGTACACTCAATTAATAATGATAAGATAAACCTCCACCTCTTATACTGACCTTGTCTTATATTCACTATCTTATCCTCTCTTTACAGAAATGGACAAGTCATGCTCCTTTCTACACTACCTTCTCTTTATCTTAACAAAATACAGTACAGAACAGTACAGTATATTCATCAACATCTCTTGCTGGAATCAGGCAACAACACTCTCAATCCAAGTTGCACTTCTTCACACACACACTTTCTCCACTCTCACTTTTACTGGAGGATCCACATCCACACATATCTTCATGCACTTTTACTCATCCGTACATCCACTTTATCTGCAAATCTTAAAAATATTTCCTTCACATCCAGTAAAATACTTCTTGTACTTTTGACCTCTGTCTCTCTAGACAGCAGATATATACTGTACTGTAATGTCTTTCTTATTACTGCAATGTGCAAAAACAATTTACAGAATAATACATTCAATTTAATTTTAAATCATCTTAGCACATATCTTAGATGAAGCAAAAGCAATCATATTTCATCACTGTCTTGAACTAATATACTGTACTACACACTAATATCTGTACAGTATTACATTTAGTGTAAATTTATCATCATTTATATCCAACTTCACATCTTTCATCCCATTCATAACTACATCATCCAACTTATGACTGACTGCCAACCCTCACAGACTACTTCACCAACTTAACCTTTCACGTGTCCTACATCAACTGGCCCACTCCAACCAGCCCAAACAAATGCTGCATACCGGTAATACCAATTCTTGGCCAAATTCACTTCCTTTCAACCTTTCCATTTTAATTTTAAACATATCTGATACTGTCTTTTCCAAATACAGTGACCCCTCGGTTAACGAACTCAATCCGTTCCAGAAGGTCGTTCGTTAACCGAAAAGTTCGTTAACCGAAACCATTGTTTCAATGGGTTTTTGGGTAATTGGTTCCAGCTCACCGAAAATTTCCTAAATTCAACAAAAATGGTAGAAACGTTCACTTACTTTGAGGTGTGTATGTAGAAGGCTCCTGGATGATGATGATGATGATGGGAATTACAATGGGGGTGGAGGAGAAGGAAGAAGAGAAGGAATTGGGGTGGAAGAGAAGTCACCCCATGGCACCATTTCACCCATAAAATTTTAGTACTCTTGGTGTATTTCAAGATTATTTTCTTTAAATCAACACTACACTGCATTATATAATGTCAATATGTAAAATATATTTCAAAATGACCAATAATTTGCTTGGAAACACAGAAAAAAGCGTTTAGTTGAAGAGAGTCTCAAGCAAGATGTTACCTCCAGTGTAAACAGAGAGAGACTAACGCCTGTTTGCTGTGTTAAGAGGCTAGATGCTGCGCTTTAAACTAGTCACTTTACCTTCAATTATGTTCAATAATTGTTAAAATGACTAAAAAATTGAATATTAAACTTTTAAAATTATTGAATAGTATAAACTTCTTGATATTTACTAAAATAGTTAGGAATTTAAGCCCTAGAACCGATTAATGTATTGGCTGACTGATACTAAAGCTGGTTGCCCGGCCAGTGCAAGCGAAAACATGTTGAGGTCGGTTCGTAAGAAATTCGTTAACCGAATTTTTGTTCGTTAACCGAATTGAAGATCCTTATGGAAGGCAGTTCGTTAACCGAAATTTCGTTAACGTTAAGTTAAACGAGGGGTCACTGTATATAAGCTGTATTACAATATCATCAATCACCTCATTCACATTCATTTCACCATGTTGCAACTATAATACTTGTTGTAGGTGAATGCAAGTCATAATCTGCCCATTTCTAGTGATGGTGGACCACTAACACTATCCTTTAATCACAAACAAGGGTCAAGGGGGTCATAATCCCTCTCCAGAAAAGTATGAAAACATGAAACTAAAAAAAAATAAAAATGAACTTAATAATCTAATTCTCATTTCAATAATGAACATTTACTACGGTGAAAAAAATATATACATATGAAAATAACCTACCATTATACAATAATAATTAGAAATAACTGCACTGATTGCTGTAACTTTTTTCCTCTAATCTACTTATCCAAGTTGACTATGCTCCATTGCCAAGCACTTAATGGTGTATCTGGCATAATACAACAGTCTTGCAAGAAAGTACAATGGATCCATTCCTTAAGAATTCTGAAAAGGTCTACAATTTAAGTGACTATTACCTTGTGATGATCTAGGTTTTACATTTCCATTAAAATATATAACTGTCCATAAATTCTTCACATGAAGCCTATAACTGCAAATACAATTACAGTAAGTAATTTGTGATGAACAACCTTTTTGCACACAATCTTTGGTAAATGACTTGTGTGGAAAGTATCCATATTAATGCTCAGAATTGCTGATCATATCACAAATAAAGGGGGGCTTTAACCTTTCCGTTGGTCTGGTCTCTTGGTCCCAGGTCGTTGGGTCCAGAACTGTGGATCTGGGCAGAGTAAAAGTGGAAAACTATTGTGTCTGCTTTTCTCAAAATACAGATAAAAAAAGTGATGTTCCTTAACACAAAATACTCAAATGCAGAAAAGCAAAATAAGTCAAATAAGGATAGAGTTAAGAACATACAAGTTTAAAGAACAAATTATTGCTTGTGGTTCAGGAAGAACTAAACAAAAAACTATCAGAACCATACCTTCACCTACAATACTGTACTATTCACTATAAACAATGTTTGGCTTGGTATGGTTGGGAGCTCTGAATATTTGCAAAACTACAAATACATTTTAACCACTTCATTTCATCTCAGAAATAGTAAACATGGGCACAAAATTCATTGTAATAATTTTATTTTTGACAAACTAGGACAACATGGTCTAAAATAATGATTTGGTGATACTTAATCTGAGGAAGTATTTGCACAACTGAAGACAGAATCAAGTGATTTTCAAAAGAAGAAAATTTAATAGGTAGGTCAAATTACATTGATTTGCAAAACAAACTAATTTTCATCTTGATAGATTATCCAACAAATGTATGGTAATTTTCATATGCAGCAATGTTCTGTATTCCCCAAAACTGTAAGTGCTTGAAAGGCAAAACTATTATTTAAATTTCCCCATTCATCTCTAGCAATGCTTCAAATCTATTAAATCTATGCAATGAATATTTTTTTTTATTTTTATTGATATACAATAGAGGTAAAAAAAAATTCTAACCAAAACAAGGCATGCATTAAACAGTAAAAATGGAGAATGCAACAGAATCACACTTATTTTGAATTATCAAATACTGTACAGAATCCAGTTAGAAAAGAGCACAAGCTCTTTCAATACTTTAACAACCATTATCTCTTTCCATTCTATTTCTATATAATGCATGTGTGCGTTCAAAAAGAAAGTTTTCATATAAAGGAGAAATATTATATATGACACTTATTTCTTATCCACAACTAAATACTAATGTACAGTGAACTGATCTAAAGATTTAATTGAGCAACTCTGTACAGTACAGTATAGGGCTGAATACCTAAGCCACAGATCCTAAATATTTTCATGAAATCTAAATTTCAATTCAATTTGAATATTAGAATGTCCTTCATCCTCATTCCATACTCCAAAAGGAGACACATGCTATGAAGGTACAGTACCCTAAAACAGAAGAATGCTGAAGGGTTTTTACTGCCAAGAATAAACATACATACATGTATACTACAATCCTCTTTTATTAATGTTGGCAACAAGATGTTGTCATCACAACTACCATTCCAGATCCAATTCACCTTAACATTCAAAGGGAGGAATGAGGGAAGCGTGATCCTATCTCTTCTTACAAAATGGGATCGTAGGCTTAAGTCAAAACAAGTACAGTACTGTACATTAACAATATACATTATCTGGAATGAGCAACATTGTTTACTTATCCAACCAAGGAAAGGGAAGTAGGGTTAACAATAAAGCTGCAAATGCTATGCTCACTTTACACCCATATGGAAAAATTTTACTAAACCAATCTAAAGCCAGTTCTATAGTGAGAAAGAAGAGAATTAACCTTATGCTACCCATGGCCATGGAGTCCTGAAGTACTGATTTATTATAGTAGTAATTGCAAACTAAAGTACTGTACATCGATGTCTTCCTTGAATGAACTTCTCAAAAATTTTTCTCCTAGACTAAAGCAGGTTAACTTAATAAAAAAAATCAACAACAACAATAACATTGCAGTGACTTCCAGTTGTGACACCACTAGTACCTACACCCAATAACCTAAAAAAATTGAGATCTTTGACCAAACAGTTGACAAGGGTTATCACTATATTGTACCCAGGGATCAAACATGGACTACTAAAAAAAAGAGTACATACCAACATGCTAACCACTCAAATTTCAAGGCAGTTCAAACAAAGAGAATATGTCCTTAAGTTGATACAAAATTGTGATTTATATAATTAAGGGCAACGGAAAAACTCATCTTTTTCCTCTCTCTGACTAAAAGTCAGAATCAGAAGTAGAATAGGCTTTGAAGATACAGTACTGTACTGTACTATACTGTACAGGTACCTGTAGTTGAATCAGCTAGGGAAATTGTACCCTAATGAACCAAAGAGTAGTCACAAAAATAATGATAACTCACAACTGCCAAGTTTCAATATCAAATGAAATATAAAAGAAATAGAAAAACATAAATTAGGTCTTGAAGAAATCTCTGTTAATCAAATCCCCGGTCCTCGAAACTCTCCAATACTGTAGCCGGGTCTGTGAAAGAGTTTTTGAAGGTGAAAATCAGGGTCATTTTCTAGAAAAATTCTGTGAAAACCTCTCCAAACCACTCCGTTCTTGGCCTGGGAAAAAATTTCTGAGAGACTGCATCATACTCCAACCAACCCCACATGCCAGGTGAGTGGGTGGTCTAGCTGCTTGGATCCTTATTTCATATTCTTCTGCTATTGTAGAAGGTTGCTCTCCCATGCCGCTCTCCTTCCCCTTCCCCACTCTATGCAATAACTCCCGTGCATGTAAAAAAAAAATTATATATTTTACCTTATACAGTGGGGTATGCTATAACGAACGGATTCTACTACGAATATTCCTATAACGAACGGTTTTACCTATAAAATTGAGAATGCTATAACGAACGAAACTCCTACAACGAACATTATTTAAAAAAAAATTTTTTTTTTTTTTACTAATTTATTGTTTTTTTATTACAAGTATTAATGATATTCTTTATTTCAGGGGTTTAGATGCATATTTATGCACTTTTTTACAATTTTATATTATATTTTTCAGTGTTAAGTGGTTGTATTTGGGGGCCTGGAACGGATTAATCCTATAACGAACGAATGCTATAACGAACAAGGTTCTAGAACCAATTAGATTCGTTATAGCACCCCAATGTGTATATATATATATATATATATATATATATATATATATATATATATATATATATATATATATATATATATATATATATATATATATATATATATATATATATATATATATATATATATATATATATATATATATATATATATATATATATATATATATATATATATATATATATATATATATATACAGTTGTACCCCACTTAACGCGGTCAATTGAACCCAGAGGGTCCCGCATTAAGTGAAATTAATCGTTAAGTGAACAACAGAACATATGGGATTAATTCCAATAGAAACCGGCCCGACCCCCAAACTCCACTTTTTGAAGGCACATACCTATGTTGTAGTAAAAATAACATCTTAATTTTATGATGGTACATGCACACAATTAATACTTAAGAGAAATACAGTCGCCAAGTTAATGTCCATTCAAATAATGGACTCAACTCCCTCCCCTCTCACACTACAGTACACAGCCAGCTAACAGATGGTCGGTCGGTCCCTCCCTCCCCCCCCCCACCCCCCACCAACCGTCCCAAGGAGATGTGTGGGATAACCTCAAACTAAAGTTAGGAAAATATAATTGACATTGCTGGATTCCTTGTAAGACCAGGAATATTTTGAATATAAATGTAATATATTTTGCACAAAAGATAACATAGTTACCTAGAGAAAAATTTTTATCTAAAAATTGTAAGTTTAAAGCAAAATATATGATGTTTATATTCAAAATGATCACCAAATTATAAGAATTCCAGCAATGTAAATTATATTCTGGCGGGGTAATTTGTATGAATTTTATGAGCTAAAACAAATATCTTCAGTTAATAAAAAAAAAATAATCTTCACGACACTATCTGTCAATCAAAGTACCCCACCTTGCCTCCCCCCCTCTTCCAACCGCGCGGTCAGTCCCAACCCTCCCCCCACCCCCCACCAATCCTCCCTTCCAGAGTTTTTAACATTTAGTATTAAATAATACCTCAGATTAAAGTTAGGATAATATAATTGACATTGCTGGATTCCTTGTAAGACCAGGAATATTTTGAATATAAATGTCATATATTTTGCACAAAAGACACCATAGTTACCTTGAGAAAAATTTTTATCTAAAAATTGTAAGTTTAAAGCAAAATCTATGATGTTTATATTCAAAATGATCACCAAATTATAAGAATTCCAGCAATGAAAATTATATTCTGACCGGGTAATTTGTATGAATTTTATGAGCTAAAACAAATATCTTCAGTTAATAAAAAAAAATAATAATTCTTCACAGGGTAACAGATGGTCGGTTGGTCCCTCCCTCCCCCCCACCCCCCACCAACCATCCCAAGGAGATGTGTGGGATAACCACTAAATTTTAATAAATAATACCTCAAACTAAAGTTAGATAATATAATTACATTGCTGGATTCCTTGTAAGACCAGGAATATTTTGAATATAAATGTCATATATTTTGCACAAAAGATACCATAGTTACCTAGAGAAAAATTTTTTATCTAAAAATTGTAAGTTTAAACAAAATATATGATGTTTATATTTCACAATGATCACCAAATTATAAGAATTCCAAATGTAAATTATATTCTGGCCTGGTAATTTGTATGAATTTATGAGCTAAAACAGGCAGTCAGGCAGGGTGGCGGGTGGGGCAAATCTAAAATAAGTCTCGACACTCACGGCGTATATGTGAAAAAATCCGTTATGAAAGTTCACTTTGGCAAGGCACACAATATCTTAACGTTAAGTGAAAAAACAATGAAATATATATATATATATATATATATATATATATATATATATATATATATATATATATATATATATATATATATATATATATATATATATATATATATATATATATATATATATATATATATATATATATATATATATATATATATATATATATATATATATATATATATATATATATATATATATATATATATATATATATATATATATATTAATATATATATATATATATATATATATATATATATATATATATATATATATATATATATATATATATATATATATATATATATATATATATATATATATATATATATATATATATATATA